TGATTGATTGATGTATGTTCTTCCCTCCTTTGCAGGCATTTGGATCAAACCGTCCCGAACGTCCAGGATGAGGGAGAAGAGGGCCGACTTCGTGGCCGGATGTCTGGGTGGAAGAGTCATCGTCGCCGGCGGTTTAGGTCAGAACCTCTTTATTTCCTCCTCATTCAGTTCATCAGAGCATGATGCTGCCACCGCCGTGCCTCAAGGTCGGTTTGGCGTTCTTGGGGTTAAAGGCCTCACCATCATGGCACCAACACAACTTTTTTCTCCTCATTCAGTTAATTAGAGCTTCTTGCTTTGACCGAGGAAGGAGAAACGTAACAACGGGTTCTTGTTCTTTTCTATAAATGCACCGTGGAGCTCCAATCCTCGGTCCACATGAGATGATTCCCAACATTCAGAACAGGTCCTTCTGAAGCTTCATCTTTTCTGATCCGTGAAGTGTTTCTGCCAAGTTTCAGCACATTACACCGACCACCAGTTGGGTTTTAGAATTGATTTTTTAAGGTTTTATGACTTGTTTTAACAGCCGTGAATGTTCTGGCTCCTGCGAACTCCCATCAGCAGCTGATTTAGCTCCTCTGGCAGGACCTCGCTAATGAACTGCAGCGGCTTATAAATCACGTTTCTTTCCATTACTGATTGTATTTATCACAATTATGCCTGTTTTTTATTGTAAAGCACTTTGTGGCTTTGCTTAGCTTCAGTTCATACATCCGAAAAACTCAATTATTATTACTGATATAATGTACGACGGCGAATATGTGCCAAAGTCCTGCCTTCACCAGATGTAATTATTAGTCAACTCAATCACTGGTACTCACGGCTGCTTTATTTGCTGCCAGACGGTGAGTTTGTCGGCGCTAACAGCAAATCAAACAGCACAAGGCTCATTTATCAGCGACACACAAACACACACACACACGAGAGGAGCAAATTAATTTTCCATTAACTTTCCATTTTCTCCTTGACTGAGCTGCATCTGTTAAAGTAAATACAGTGTGAGGTGAGATTGAGCAACGCTACGAACCAATCCGAGGCCGGCCCTTTATTCTCCCTCTGCTCGATGACATGCTTGTTAAGCCCGTATCGACTCTGTGCGGTTGCGTACATCAGCAACTTTTAACACACAAACTGGTGTAAACGGCAAAGTCGGAGAGCGAAATCTATCGACTCGTGCAAAAAGCATTTATTCGTGTGAGAAACGCCGTCGTGCACACGAGCGACGAGCTCATGCAGCGTGACGAGCAGGTTGGATTAGTTTGCAGCTACGGCTCCATTAGAGGTGATCTAAGGGGAATATTCTCATCCATGAATCATCTCAGCCTAAACTGTTGACACTGGTGGAAAACATATATTTACATTTCTGGGAACATTTGCAGTTTCTACCCGGCTGTGTTTGAGGAGNTTGGCCTCGACTCTCTCCGTCTGGCTCACAGTGACCTCTCCTGTTCTTCTGCTATTTGTGGACTTTATGTTTTTCATCCAGAATCCACAGCAGCGGTGCAGGAAGCCTTCTGGGTGACAGAAGCTGCACACAGAATTCAGTCTTTTAGGAACTCGTGCTTCGAAATGCGTTTTCTTACCGAGAGGCAGCGTTTCCACTGAGCTGAGCTACGCTACGCCCTGATCCTGTTAACCTGAGATGTTTTATTACTCTGGCAGCGCTGAGGCGTGTTTTCAGGCTGTTTGTTTGTTAGTTCATGATGTCTGTGAGCAGGTTTATGCAAAACAAAACTGAATTTCATGACGTAAATGGCGTCGACCCTAGTGGCAGACTGGACTCTCTGAATGCACTAATAGTTTTTTTTTGGTTTTATCTTTACCTCACAGTCAACAAGAACAGAAACAGAATGCTGAACTGGTCCTCCATATAATAAATGAGCCACAGTTTTGCTTTTTCATGCAGTTGTTTTGCGGATTCTCTTCAGACACACGAGGAATCTCTGTGGGAGAAAACATGCTTTACATTTCCCATCATGTCAGTTAACGGCTAAAACCTGAGACGCATTTAAACGGTGTTTTCTGCTCTATTTAACCCTCAGAGCTCAACTTTACGGGCAGATTCATCTCAGCTGAATCGCTCTTGAAGGATTTATTACAATAAAGTGCAGCTTAAATCTAATAAAACTGCAAAACTCGACCTTTCCAGCGACGCTAGCTGCTCGTCTGTGCGGCCAGGTGCTGCTGAGAAACAAAAAAAACAAAAGAAAATATTTAAATTTTATTCTCTGTTAGATTAGATAGAACTTTATTGATCCCTTTGGTAGGGTACCTCAGGGAAATTGTCATTATATTATATTATATCTCGATATAATATAGGTTTAATAGTCATAACATGAGTGTAACGCTGTTCACATCGTAGTAGAAGGAGGAGCAGAACAGGACTCCTGTCACATCTTTGCTGGTTTTGAAAATTCATTCATTCATGCAGATATTCTTAGTTTTGTGTTCTTCTGACTCATATTGTGTATGTAGTGTTTACACATCACCTCTTTGACCTCTGCTTGTGTTTTCTTGCTTTTCTTTCGTCACTTTGCTGCTGTGAGGTTGGAAATGTTCTCTTGTGGGACTAATGAAGGACGTTCTGTTCTCCGTCTCCACCACGTCCTCTTTGAATGATTAATACACTAAAAATAAAGTTCTAAATTAGAAGTTGTGGTTTAAAAATGGGGCAGAGATTCCTTCATGTCCAGATGTTATTACAGATCGTTCGCTGATGCTTGGATTCTTTATACGAGTCACACGTCGGTGTTTCCTGTCAGTTTCCACTCAGCTGAAGAATCTGATCGACCTGCTTCGTCCATCACCTGAGAAAAACCTGAATACAACGTTTATACAACGTCCTACCACCAACATCAGCACCAGCGCTTCTATTTGCCCGTTTATTCGATAAACACGTGATTTTGGAGTGAAATGCTGAACAGGCGTTTTTCTTTACGGCACCTTGTCGATGAAAAGCTTTTGTTTCACGTGTT